AAAAAAAAAAAGCCAAAGTGGCCATTAAGCTGAAAAAGTACTGCAGATTTATAAAAAACAAACAAACAAAACAGTCAACAGTGCTGAGAAGATTTTTACCAAGGATAGGGCACCAACCACTTCCTTACAAAGTTCCCTCCAGCCTTGCTCAGACTGCTGTGGAACAGCCATAAGGAGGCATACATCCCAGAGAAACCAAGTGGGGTAGTTGGCTATGTCAAACTGATTCTTTCTTGAGGCAGATGTGCTGTGAGCCGCAGAACTATGAAGCAGGAACTCAACTGGCACAGACAAGGCTGACCCATCAGAGCCAGGGGCTCTGGGGGAGGTTGAAGCCAAAACTCAGTTTGGTGATATTGGCTTTTGAATGTGTTAGCTGTTTCCTGCAGTGAATTTCTTGTGTGCTATTGTAGCCTTCCCATTTGATTCTTTTCCCAAGAACTTCTAACAGTGTGATTGACTATTTATTGGACACAACTTCCCTATACATGTCAGGTATTTGGACAACATCCCCCAGCTATGTGTGAAAACAGTCACACAGTCAAAACCTGTTTCCCACAAGCAGGTCTTTGTTCCTTTCTCCAATGTAAACTTAGAGGTCTGTCTTCCTGCAATTATCTTCATTGGCAGGCATTTGGTCAGTGTTAAGTGTCTAGGCAAAAATAATCTCATTTGAGACATTCTCGGACATCCAAGGACATCGTATTATAACATGTCTGAATTTGTTGATTCACAGCCTTTAGAGAGATATGGAACAAGCATGCCCTGGGCTCTCCCTGCCAGCAGATAAGAAAAGTGCTGCCCCAAGCTAACCTTGAACTAACACAATCTTAACTCCTTTTCCTGCCACCTTGGTTTGTTAATTAGCTTATTATCTAACTACACTTAGGAATGCAGTATTACACATGGATTCCCGTTTTCCCTTCTTAGATTTCCCTAATTGATTTAAGGTCTCTCTCCCTCTCATTTGATCCTATTCCCTCTAAGAGTTCACTGAGGCTTTTACAAGTCACCCCCTCCTTGAGTCATAAGAAGTGCCTGACAGTCACTGCCTGGTGTAAACTCTTATCTTGTTTTATGACCCTGAAAGAATTCAAGCCTTGTGACCTTGCTTTGGTCAGAGAATTGCTGAGTGTATGAGTGTATGTGTATAAAAACTGTAAACTTCAGAGACTCGGGGAAGAACTAAGACAGAACAAAGAGAACAGCAGAAAAGGGTACAGAGAATCAGGCAAGCGAGGAGCTAAGTATGAGAGCTGAAAAGAAGAGTATAGGGAGAACTTAGAACAATAAAGTGAATGGACTGAAAGAGCACGGTGTGCGTAGATTCTTTTGATATCCCTAAGATTAGATTCCCAGCTGGTTGTTAAGATTCTTCCATGGACCCTGGGAGAGAGTTATTTGGGGCTGGACCTCTCTTGTTACGGATGGGACTTAGGAGATCTGAAGTCAGCTTGTCTTTGGGAACCCTGATACCAGGGAGGTAATGGGAAGCTGGGTTATGGTTTTGTTTTTTCTTTATTTGTAAACCACAGCAGAGAAAGCGAGATTGCATTTATGAAAATATTTTTCTGAGAACTGTGTTTTGTGTTCTACAATGTCTCCAGTGCCTAGTATATACACCACATATACATGCAGTGTCTCCAGTGCCCAGTATATACACATGTCCTATGCATGCAATGTTCACAGTGCTTAGCATGTACACTGCCTGTGCAACACAAGTCTCCAGCAGATACACTGCCTGCTCTAACTTTTCTCCACACTTTCATCCTTTTATCGAAGGTCATGGTAACACCAGAATGAAAGGAAAGAGGTTGGTCTAACTAGGTGGCATGCAATGAGTCCTTGGTTGATAAACATACTTTCTCATCAAATAGTTTTACACAGTTATAAGTTCTTTGATTTGAGGATAGGGACAGTAAGAAGTTATTATTGCTGAAACTTACGATAGGCACCGTCAGGGCTAACTTCTTCACTTATAACCAAGCATGTGATCTGGGAATATGGTAAAGGATTACTTCGATTATATGGACTAACAATCATTCCAATGAACTTTGCTCCTCCTCTGGAGAAGTAACTCTACAATGAAAAAAAAAAACAAAAACGTTTAATTAATTTCAACTATCAAGGCTCTAATTGATGGTTAATTGGAGAAAGGATAACAAAAAAGAGCCCTATCCAAACAGCAGCAACTGAATGAAATGCCTTATGTACTCATTTCAGGCCCATACTGTTCACCTTCATCAGAGATGATCTTTACAAAAACATACTGCACGGCTAGGGAGAAGACTTACTATGCAAGAGAAGTTGGGCAAGCAGGACGAGCAGGTTCCCCACTCAGAACCCACATAAGCCTGCTGCCATCAGCTATATGCACCTGTAACTTGTAGCCCACGTGCTGGGGAAGGGGATGGGAAGACAGGAGGACTGCTGGTACCAGCCTAGCTACAGGTTCCGGGAGAAATCCCATCTCAAGGGAATAAAATGCAAAGTGACAGAAGAGGACATCAAATGTTCTCCTCTGGCTCATGTGCAAATACATGAGTGTGCACCTCACCTCACAAACAAACATACACAATTAAAAACAAAAAGACAACAGAAGTGCCACATATATTAGTTGGGTGTGGTGGTACACATCTATCTCAGTATTCAAGAGGCTGAGACAGGAGAGTGGAGAATTACCACAAGTTCCAGGCCAATCTGGGCCCAAAGAGTAAGAGTCTTTGTCAAACAAAACCCATACCACAAATGTGTTTACATACTATAATGCCAAATCATTTGACTGTAATTCTTATTAACAAGGCGATAACAAATAGCTACCTACATAGAAAATATACACTAAATGTAACAGTGAGTAAAATACAACTTGTTTTTTACAAAGAGATGTATCAATCCTTCCAACTTTTACAGTTATAACAAGTCTCGTCCTACTTCTTTCTGGCAGTTTTTAAGGGCTCTAGGAGCTTGTCCATACTAAAACAAAAAACCTGTCTATACTCAACTGTTGACTTTCCAAATACTTATTGATATAATAGGAAAAAAAGCAAGTTATTTCAAAATTGTAGATGTAAAAACTCTTAGTGTAAAGCTAAAAATAACAGATGTTTTACTTCATGAAAATCAACAGGAGATGTGTAATAATTTACAAACTGTAGGTATAGAATAGTATAAACACACCTGGTATTTGGCTTGTGTGTCAATATCTCGTAAAGACGGATTAGGATCAAATGCAGGATGAGAATGGTACCACCCAATAACACTGTAGCCTCTAAGAGCCAAGGTTTCTGAGGCCTGCGTTTGTGATACAGGATCCATCTCGCACTGTAGTCCTGTACTCAGACTGTTACATGGTTCTGCTGCACACACCTGTAAATGATTATAGTGAAATCCTATCAATTCTATTCCTTGCTAAATAAACTCCAAAAGTGTGACTGTAGGCTACGAACTTAGGTAGCCTTTTCTAATCTAAAAGGCATGATAATGGTTAGTTTCCAGGTTGCACCATAACATCTACCCAAAGGCATTTTCAACAATTCCTGTTACATATGAAAATAATATCAGCAGAATGATGTATACCAGTGTTTACCCACAAGCACAGAATACATTACTACCCTCTGTTGTAGCTTTTCACTGGTAAAGGTAGTGGGTAGCCAAGGCTGGCAGAATCCTCTCTCTTTTGATAGGAAACAGATGCTCAGTAAATAGAATGCTAAGTCACTTCTGAATACATAATTTTCTATGCATGTATACTCTCACACATACAGATAAAATCAATATTTTCTGGGTTCCATAAAATATTTGTTATGGCACCAAGACTTGGTAACTGAAATGTTTGAAAAGTAAGACTTACTTCAACGGTTTTCTCAGCTTCTGAGTATCTTCCTCCTAACAGCCCAATCACCTCTGCCATAGAGACATGAGCATGCTAAAAGAAACAGGACAGACTCAGACCAAATCCACACTCGCAGTCAACGAAGAATCATAGAACAGTGCTGCAGCACAGCAACTGCACTGCTCTGAATAGAGGCACAGCAGGGAGCTGGCAGCTGGGCTCCAAGCATCTGGCTCAGACTTTACACCCGTTTCCTTTCAGCTACCTAGGAAGCTTTGAAGCACATAGTAGACGAACTGTAGTGGGTAGCCATTCCAGTTTTGACCTGCAAGTACCACTCGCATTGAGGCTTCGGTAACTATCACGTCTACAAGGCGGAGCTGAGACAGGACGCCTGAAGACTCGAGATCCTGATGGGCCGGCTCTCTTGGTTCCTGGATCCTGAACACTGGAGGTAGATCGAGCAGAGTTCTCCAGAGAACACCGCTGGACTGCGCTTCACCTTTCCCAGACTGTTACCTATCCTTTCACTTGCAAGTTACCTCACAAAATAAACCTCCCTTTTAACTATGTGGAGTTGCCTTAATAATTCTAGCAATATGAAATTTCTTCATTTAAAAAGAAAGACACCAACTGCATTCAAAGGACACAGAGTGAGTCACTCTAGAACCTTCTGTAGAAAATGACCTGAAACACAGACAACTGTTAGAGGGTCTGCAGGCAGTACACCCAAGGAGCCTCCGCAGTTTAGATGTAGTAGAGTTTCAGTTATCTGGACAGCAGACATGGAATATTAGAAAATGGTCAGAGGTTAATGATGGCAGACAATCTGCAAAATTCTCAGAAATTTGTTTTTTTCTAAAATACGGAAACATGCACTTGTCTGGCTTTCCTTCAAAAGAAATTAGATTCCTTATAAAGAAAATAGTTAAAATCTGAAATATAAGTCTTCCATTTTCTCTTAGGTCTACAAAAAAATGAATAAAGGAAATACAAGAACAGAAATCAGAATAAATAACTAAGCACAATAGGTTATCCTTACCAAATCCATTATTAAAAGTGCTTCTGAAGCTACTTTCACCTGAAATGGCTCCTGAAATATAAAAAGAAAAGGTGGATAGCATAAATACTGAGATTTTTGTTCTCCCCAGTTGGAATATCCACCATTTTCTCCTTACCCACCCCACCAAGTTCTCATAATTAATCAAAGTTCAGGACAAATGAGACTTAAAAACAACTAAGCTTCAAAGCCCCAGCAGGAAACTGCTCTTCCCTCTCATTTTCTGCCTGACTCATTCACCCGATCCTTACTATACCCTGCCATGTCCAATTCATTCATACACATGCCTCACACACAGATAAAGAGTAAGTAATTGCTGTCCAATGAGGGCATTATTTGTGATTACTCATTGATAACAAGTACCTGCTTTTCCTCACTGAAAAAATTACAAGGTATCAGTTGGAAGGGATCAAGTGAGCTGAAAAAGAAAAAAAAATCACTAATTTGACAAATTAGCAATTAATATAAACCCAAACTTTTGCCTGTATGAGAAAATATTAGCGTAGGAGAATCCCTTGTAAGGAGCTACACATTCTTTTAGATCTGACAGCGAGAAGCAAGTCTGGGACAAAGTTAGCTCTGTTGTTTTATTTTCTTTTAGCAACTGAAGGAGCTGGTGAGCAGACACAGCTCTTCAACTGAAAGGAGATATCAAAAGTTCAGGGAAACAACTATTTCCCCAATATAAGACCTGATAGAAGTTCAAGTAAGAAGTTTCTCAAAACAGCTTGCCAGGCTAAGTGTTGTGTTGTACATCCTGAACCCCCCTACTCATGAGGCAAGGGCCAGCCTGTTCTACATAGTGAGCTTTAGGCCAACCAGGGATCTATACTGAGACTCTGTCTCAAAGGAAACACATGGATACCAACACTTGTCAGTATCATAATAGTGGGAATTGAAGAAGTAGCTGTTAAATTAAGGAGTAACTAACAAGTCTATCAAACAGATTAAAGCAAACAGAAAGGCCTATGATATTACTTGAAAATGTAAAGATATAGAAAGGGAAATCTAAGCAAGGCCAGATACAAAAGTGTGTGCAAACCAGAAAAAAGACTAAGAAAGGTTTTGACCACTAAAAATTGAGTTTTGGAGAAAATAGCAGAACAATTTTTTTAATTTAGTATTATTTTTAGATTTATAAAATTTACTTTATATGTATCAGTATTTTGCCTGAATGTAGATATGTATATGTGTGTCTGGTACCCACAACAGTCCAAAGAGGATGTCAGATCCCTCAGAACTAGAGTCATGGATGTTTGTGAGCCACCATGTTGGTGCTGGGAACTGAACCTAGGTCCTTTGCAAGAGTAAGTGCTCCTAATCACTGAGCTGTATCTCCAGGTATTGGAAGAATGTTTATACAAAGAAAAGCAATCAGAAATGTTTCTATTAAGACAATTTGGAAAGAGTAGCATATGGAATTCCCATCTGACAGGAGTGTGTAAGGGTATTTTGTTTTATTAGGCTTGTACCCCAGGGCCCAAAACATGTAGGAATTTAAAAAACGGAATAAAGATAAAAGAAGATATTTAAATTAAATGAATAAGAAGGAAGGTGGGTGAGCTGGGACATGTTTGTAATCCCAGCACTTGGGAGGCAGAAGCAGGAGGATCCATGGTTAAGGTCATTCTCAGCTACACCTCGAGTTTCGGGCCACTCTGGGACATATCACTCTGTATCAAAACAAACAAAACAAAATGAACCCCCAAAAAACTAAATGTTTAAGCACTGGAGAAATGGCTTGAAAATTAAGAGCACTGGCTGCTCTTGCAGGATGTGAAGGTTTGGGCTGGAGAGATGGCTCAGAGGTTAAAAGTATTGGCTACTCTTCCAGAGGTCCTGAGTTCAATTCCCAGCAACCACATGGTGACTCACAACCACCTATAACGAAATCTGGTGCCCTCTTCTGGCCTTCAGGCATACATGCAGGCAGAACACTATATATATATATATAATAATATAAATAAATATTTAAAAAAAAGAAGAAGAAGATGATGAAGGTTTGATTTCCAATGCCCACATGGTAGCTCACAACCATCTGTGACTCCAGTTCCAGGGGATCCAACAGCACTTTTTCTAGCTTCCAAGGCTATCAGGCATGCACCTACATATAAGTAGGTAACACAGAAATACACATAAAAAGCAAGTAAGTAAATAACAACAATGCAGACTGAGACAGATTGGAAATGTGGAAATGATGAAAAGAGAATAGTCTGAAGAATGTGTGTGAACTTAACCTGTACAAACAGGAGCATGTTGATGTTTCTTGAAGGGTTGCTGAGGATGGCTACAGACACTTAATGGACAAAACACAAACAGTAGATATTGGAAACAGAGGTACTAGATACTGAATACAGATAAAATTCTAGAAAAGCAAAGAGATGATCAATATTAATGGATTCATGAAAAATATATGTCACAATAAGTAAAGTGTACTATCAGTTTTGGTGGGAATGATTTGTTGCAAACTAGACACTACCACTTTAAAATCTGAGTTTTAAGCGAGATATCTATGATCTGCATGTGAATAAGATACAAGCATATGGGTTAACTGTGTTAAAGTATATCAGATGACTGAATAATGATTTCCGAGGCTTATTCCAGTAGACCTTTTTATTTGGTGATGAATACTAGAAAAAGTAACTTTACTGCAATGCTGATGAATCAATGCTAACAGTAAAAAGATGAGAAAAGTATGTGTGGATTTAAAAGGTTCCTGGCAAGACAAAACAGCTTAAAAATTATAATAAAGCTAAATTTCACACACAGATTCAGGAAATAAAATGTATGAATACTGGAAGGAGTCTAGGCTTATTAATGATTTTTAACTTAGTCCACTTGCCCTACAGGGTAAGGTTAAATTTACATTTTGGAAAAGAAACAGACAATGTGCTGAGTTACACTCCCAGGTAAGGATTCCTGGGCTTAAATCAGTTTCCACATATGGCAGCATGAGCAAATACTACATGGCCACTTCTTTGTCACCCAGTTTTCTTAAGGGTAAAACGGGCATGATGCTCACACTGAAAAGTGTTGTCAAGGGATTAAGTGTGTGCACACTTAAAAAAAAAGTACTTAAAACACAGCAAGCAATGTTAGCTGTTTTAATTAGTTTCTAAGTAAGGAACCAAGTCCTGACAAGGAAATACAACTGCTACAGTATTTCTTAATATATTGCTTTGGAAAGTGATAGGCCAAAACTAAAGTCTACTTAATGGGGCTGCAGAAACTACGATGCCTAGTAAAATCAAGGAATTCAACGTACTCAAATATTTTACAAATTAAAATTTTCAGATTATATCACATTAAAAACAACAAATTTCATAACAACTTGTGAAAATTCAGCAAGAAAAAGGGATTGTCTGACCATGTCTAGGGGTGAAGGACTCCTTATATACACAGGTCCTCTAGGTAATCCCCAAAACTCAACGAGTCAGAACTCTGAAATGCCAGTCCAAAGTTCTCAAAGTGCTAATCAGTGAAATAAAGTAATTTAAAAAACAATTCCAAAATGTGATCAATAATTTTTCAATTAAAAAATGGTAAAGGGCTAAGGTGATGGCTCAGTGGGTAAGTGCTCACCTTGAAAGCATGAGAACCTGAGTTTGGAGTTTCAGGAATCTATGCAAATCCTGGGTGAGCACGGTAGCCCACCTGTAATTCCAGTCTCCAGAGCAAGCTGGCTAGCAAGACCAACCATATCTACAAGCTTTTGGTTTGATAAAGAGATTATGCCTCAATAAATAAGGTGTGAGAATGACAGAAGACGTTCCTGACACCAACCTCAGGCCCACACATGAATGTGCGCACACACACTCTCTTTTGCACACACAAGGAAAAAAGAAAAGTATTTTACCTCATGTATATTATACAAAGTATCTAATGAAGCTATCAGGTATTTTTTCATAACCATGTGTGGTAAGTTAAGAAAATACATTATATAACATAACACTCTACCTTTTTGGTAGTTTGGAAATTTTTGAAGATTTAACAGGTTTGCACTTTTCCTCTTCTCTTCTTTTTGCCAATTCCTCCGCAGACAGATGCTAAAACAAAACAGCCAATCAAAGGGTTCATCAGCTACTGATGCAGAAGAAATCAAATAGTTATGGACATGTGAGAACAAGACCAACCAAGTCAGTATGCATTGTTTCCTTGCTACTAATAAATCCTGGGCAATAACTTTTAAATTTATGTCAAAATATATAGCCTTATCACAATGAAAATGTGTTTCTTCTCCAGACTTGCCCATTTTAATCAAGGGTATCAGTCATTAAGTTTCAAAAACCTCCATGTCTTTATTCCTTATTTCTAGTTTCCAGGGCTCAGGTGGCTGAATTTTCTTTTATAACTTAAGACACCACCATGCTATGATCAAGAATGCAGAGTCCAAAGGCTGAAAGGGTAGTTCAGTGGTAAAGTATACTTTGTCTAGCATGCATGAGGTCCTGGTTTCCTCTCTGGCACCATGGAAGTGAGATGCATCAACATCATAAAATTCTGGAGCAGAAATGTATGGCTCTATTCATTATCAGCTGCGAGACCACTGTTGAGCTCTGAAGCTTCCACACTTCAGTTTCCTCATCTTTAGAAAACAAATAATAACAGCAGCAATAACTGTCATGGTGTACTGTGAAGTTAAACATGTTAATGTTCATAATCTACTCTTTCTACTACCACCCCTACACTCCAACTGAACAAACTATGCACCTTTCCCAGAATATTAATAATTTCCCTGTATCTGTACCTTTGCTTGTGCAACTCCCTCAGCCTAGAATGCTTCCATCTATATTTTGAGATGATTCTTCTCCTGATCCTTTGGTTCAAACTCTTTCCTCATCACACTCTTTGGGAGTACCTCATATTCTTAGACCAACCTTATGGGAAGGAACCATGTATTACTTATTAATATGCCAATAAGAGTACTGGGTGTAAGGTTAGGGACAGGAGAGGGAGGAGAAGGCGCAGGAGAAAGATAACATTTATTGAGTACCCTGTCCAAGCAGGCTTACTGAATAACTAATACTAGGAACTTAATATATTTCATCTCATTTCTTTTAAAATCCTTTCAGGGAGGTACTATCCATACTTTATAAATTAAAATTTGAAATTTAGTGAAGTTAAGTAGCTACTTGAGATAAGAAAGTTAATAAATATATATTTATACCTTCTTTCCACTCTACTACACTAATCACCTACAATTCTATATGTAAACACATGTGTGCATGTGTGTATATATACGTACAATATTTGTTGCCTATGTTTCCTTTCAGGGTCCCAATTTCTATTAGCAGAAATAACACTTCAATATTTATAATTCAGTATGCATAATGTTTAGAACAGTATTTTAATTGGTTTAACAAACATCATTCAAAGGAACATTAACATTTAATGAAATGATTAGGGCATACCAATTGCTCAGTCTGGCATTTATTCTTGATTTAGAGATGGAGATAGAGAACCAAAATTCTGAGTGCAAGTTAACTGTACCACTGATACCTCCAGTTTGGTTAATGGTAACTTTTCAATTAATAATTAACATGGGAATGAGCACACACACTTCAACAATGAAATTAGTGTAATATACAGGAATTAAAATCATGAGACCAACAAGTTTTCAAGGATAAACCACAAATAAGGTCAAAATTACCTCAAATGTTTGCCCTTCTAAGTCTTTTGCATCACACCAGTTTCCCCATGGGTCTCGGACCCTACGTCTCCTTGTACGCTATATTAAGAAAAAAATAAAGGTAAAATGTAACAAAATTAACCTGGCAAAATCCTTAACACACGAACACACAAAACTTAAACAATAACTATCTAAAACTCTATTAAGTATTTTAGTGTCTGTTCATCAACTCACTAACTGTATTCTATTGATCATGTGTAACAGTCAGTTATTTCTCTGCTTAAAGACACTCAAGTGACTTCTCGTGGCCACTAGCAGCAGCTAGCAAGGTAGGAGCTAGGTGGCAGCATCAAGGTACCACTTTAAAAAACATAGCACTGATGTCTTTCTTCATTTTACTCGATTTCTTTTTTAATTTTCCTTTCCATTACCATTTAGGAGCTAAAATACCAGGATAAAAATACTATTAAGACTAGAAAAAAGCACCAAGAAAATGAACTTGTTTCCAATTATCTGTGGTAGAGAAAAAAACACATCAAAGAGTATAGGGAAAGTAGAAGCAAAATGATTATCTCAGGTTTAGAAAGGCCATTGCCAAATTAATACAAACAATGAAAAAACTACAAAATGTGTAGACTCTATGACTCAACTAGTTCTGCAAACATCATATCTGAGGTGTTTAGAATGAACCAGCTGCTAAAGAGAGGTGTGTACTTTGTACGATCTCCAAAGAGCCACTTGAAAACAGCCTTTCTTAAGACAGCAAATTCAGGTATATCCAAGACTTATTTTACCTGTCACCAATTTAATGTGAAACTAATGAGATCTTTTCTACCATCCTCTACCTTCTGAATGCTGAGGTTAAAATGCACATGCCACCACCCTCAGCTGGTGTGTGTGTTGCTGTTTTTTGTTTGTTTGTTTGTTTTTAATGTTTTCTTAATGTTTATGAATGTTTTACCTACATGTATGTCTGTGCAGTACATGCATGCCAGATGCTCAGGAGGCCAGTAGTGTCAGATCCTCTGAAACTGGAGTTACAAATGCTTGTGGTCTGCATGAGGTACATGCTGGGAACTGAACTGGGATCCTCTGCAAGAGCAGCAAGTACTCTTAACCACTGAGCCATCTCTCTAGCACCCAACACGTTAAGTTTACAAATCAAAACCAAATAGCCCAAGGCCACTTTAGTAAAGATATTTCTATGGACTTTGACAGTGAACTTGAAGGGTTTTCCAGTTTGTTTGGTTTCTGTCTCATACACAAAAGAAGCCAGAAAATTAAATGGCCAAGGTGAAACACAAGAGTAAACATGTTCTTCCACTCAGTGGCCACTTGTTTAGTAAAACAGCTACTTACCATAGACTGTAGGCGCCAGGCAAGCTGGTATGCTGCTTCTGTATCTTTCCCATCACTCACTCGTACTTTATCAACTGGTTGTGGTCTGTTATATATTGCCTGTTCTGTTGGAATTTAGGAAAGATAAAACACATCTATTATTCTATGAAATCTGTTAACTAGGAAGATATACTATGCTGACTACAGCTGAGCTCCCATGATTCTCATCTCACAATTGTACATTTGATAAGTCACTTAGTTCTCAAATGAATAATGCTGTTAATAAAATGGCAGCCCAATAAAAGCAATTATTAAGAACTAAGTAATTTGTATAACTTCTGGTGAACTGAGTGCTGAGCCCACTTTGCTGACTCTGGCAGTTTAATACAGAAAACATATGTTGTCATCTCTGTGGCTGCGGCTAAGATAGATGAAGTTCCCAAATAGCTGGTCTCTACACAGAGCTTGGGGCACAAATGCAACAAATGTAGAAGACAAAGTGTTCTCAATACACAAAAATGAAACCATCTATCAGAGGCTTTCTGGTTAGCTCTCTCGCTCACCTCCAAAACCAGGGGTGGTGAGGTTCTGGTTCTTTATCACTACCTGCACCCATCACCACTAGCTTCTTCAGAGCTCTGTCACGTGAATTCAGTGATCAGGAAGAATTCATTCTGACATATATATACTCATCAACTTGAATCAGAAAAAAACCAAGAGTGAAAGAGTTTCACTAATTAAAAAATTTGCGTGTGTGTATACATGTGCACAATTGTGCAGGTGCGTACACGTCAAGGTCATAAGACAACTTGTGGGAGTTGGTTCTCTCCTACCAAGTAGATCTCTGTGATGAAACTCGCAGCTCAGGCTTAGGGGCAAATGGCACTGAGCCAGCTCACCAGCCTTGTTAAAATACTTTTGTGCTTTTATTATAATTAAATATACAAGTTCCTAAGTTACTGCCTTCATTTAACCATTGCTAGAAAGCATCTCTAGCAGAAATACAGTATAGGGTGAGTAACACTTCAAATTTCAGATTTTGTTGGATCTTAGAATATGTGCAGAAAAATGTTCACAACATCTAAACTTTTTTAACAGCCATGCTGGTCTAAACCTGTATCTTTTTAAAGTAAATAGGCTATTCTTAGATTCTCATAAATTATTTACTTTTACTTGACAAAGAACTCTGTTAAATTATTACTATTATGTAGATAAAATATATTCCTTTAAAATTGTATTTTCAAAGGGAAACAGTTTAATTAGCAGAAATCTGTTTAACATCAAGTCTTAATGATACACTTATTTCATAATATTACACTCTTTCTCTGAATTCCATATACTTAAATCCACTTGAATTTGAACCATCATAAAAATTAATGGGCGCTATAAGGATAAAAAAATGCCAAGTAAAAGATGTTGTTGGGTTTTTATTTTTACCACATCCAAAATTGATTGCTCCTATCAACTCGAGGTATGTATGAATCCGTCCAATACAATTAACATCCCCACAGTTCTTCAGGCCAGGACGTACTGAGGTCTTATTTAAGTATTTCGGTTTGCATATTTCCCTAATTAAGAGATGGAAGTACAATTATTTTGGATGAATAGAAACATTTAAAAAGGGATTTCTGGGGAAAACTTTTAATATATGAAATACCTTAAATTTTTATTTTCACTCAATGCCTAATTGTGTAACAAATAAATACCCAAGTGTCCTTTTTTCACAAGTAAAATATCTTTAAATAATGCAACAACTTACAAGTACCTGTAAGTGTAATACTGTTACAAATATTCTTCCCAAATACTAAGCCCCATAGATCCCAGGTGTCCCCCAACCTTGAAATTAGCAACTTATTTTGTACAAAAGCAAATTCACTTCTACATCTGTGAATAAAAAGAGCACTTTGGGAATTAAAGAAATTTAGTACTTAGACATCCCCCCTACTTTTTCTTTTTTATAGTACTGGCCTCATGCTGCTAGGCAACTGTTCTAACACTGAGTTATACTCCGTCCCAAGGCTTTCCAATGCTGTTAATTATTAACTCTCAAAAAGTTTTAAATATTGTATATTCATTTTTAATTATAAGCACTTAGTCTCAAAAGAAAAAAGATATAAGTATTCTAGGGATTTCCAAAGGAATTAAAAAACTCCCAATGAAATTAAAAATTCATATAATAATCATATATTTGTTTAATGTACTATGCTAGAAAACACAATATAAATTTAACAGAAACAGAGACCTTCACAAGAGTAGAAATCAATTACTGAGTATGCCAAATGCTGTAATGTTAGGTACACATAATTCTAAGAGAAAGGTTTTCCCAATCCCATCTTAGAAAGGAGCAAGCAGGCTGGCCAGAATCACTACAGCACCTACCTACTTGAGGAAGCGATAGGGTTAAGATGCAGACACTGACCCCGACATTAAGTGACAGCACAGACAGTACTCAGTCACATTTTATTCAGTAAGGACTTATGTCCAATGTCCAGACACTGTTCTAGGAACAAGGGTCTGAGGTGAGTAATACAAAGTTTCTATTTTCAAAGATCTTAAATTCCAATGGAGACTATCAATACATAAAGGAATAATATATATTATGTTATCAAATAACAGCACTAAAAAGAAAAAGAAGCCTAAGTGGATGGATGGATACAGGGCAACAAACAGGCACAGTCTACTTTAGATAGGGTGCTTATGGAAGGTCTCTCTAAACAGACAAAATTAAAGTCCATAAATTTATGAAGTCCATAGAACGTGAAAGTAATTGTGATAGAGGAGAATACTGTAACTTCTACAGAAAAGCTGAAATTCCAGTGTTTCATGAAAGAAAAGCAAACAAACTAAACAAGTATTACAAGAGTAGGAAAAAGTAGAGCTACTAAAAAGTGACAGGAACCTGGCTTAGTCTCCACTTGTCTTCTCCAATCAAAAGGCTTTGCAAGAAGCTCAATAGCCTTGCTCACGCTCAGACAGTAACCGCTTCCTCAATCTTCTTCCCCTCACAACTGAAATGCCTACGGTATCTAAGCACTGTCTAGGCAGTGGGCTGAAGACAACAGAACTGTCTTCCCACTGCCTACGATCCTGAGGGATGAGGGGTGAAGGCAATTGACAAAACTGTAGCCTTTTCCATGGCAGTAAGCTGCAGGACAAAAATAAATAAGGTGCCAGAACAGGGAGGAGCCACCCGCACCTCCCCTTCCCTGAGCAGACCTAAGGAGTCAAGAGCCAGCACCGTCAGCCCTGAAGGCAAAGAAGCTGTGGCCACAGTTACAGCTTTTTAAACAATGAATCAACACAGAAGCTGAAATCGCTTCACCCTAAGTGCGACCTCATCCTCTGGGAACCTTATTTTTCTCATTTGGAAAGACTGTCAAGAGAATTGAAGACGATTTCAATATAATGCATGGCATGTGGTAGAATAATGGTGTTAAGAGTTGGTTAACACTTTAATAAAAACTTACCCTAAATAAAACCAACTTCACCTGCTCTCATGGAAAAGAAAGTTCGGGTAGGTCTCTTTATTTTCAAAACTTTACCTTTCCTTTTTTAAAGTATTACCTGTGTTCTGTTTTGTACTTCATGCCTTTCTCTTTAAAAATAGTTCTTAAACAGTAATCCAAATAGGCTTTGTGTAGGAAACTACTGCCATGTAATTTATACTACCTATGTAATTTATCCTGCTAATTTAAAACCCAAAATTTAACAGAACAAAATTTATTTAAACTAACATTAAGTATGAACAAGTTGTGACATTTCTGAAGTAGAAACTGTTTTGAAGGCCTTCAATTTTGGCTATCTATTCTTTTATTTCCCAAACTAAACCCAAGTATGAACAGAGATCTAATTTAATTAGCATTTAAAAACTGTCAACTAGGCAATGTGGATTAACAGAACGAGTAAGTTGGACTGATACCTTTCATGGGTCAGTGGCTGGTTGAAAGATCAAAGGCAGGCACCCTAAACCTCTATCTGAGAATTGTGCTAATCTGTTTCAAACAGCGAAGATCCCATTTGCCTACTTCACAGGACTGTTGTGAAGACTCAGATGAGAAGATACAGGGCAGCTTTCTGTAAACCACAAAGCACTACGTAAATGTCAATTGTTTCTCCTAAGTATCCCTTACTCTCACGACATCCTTAGCCAAGTCGGTTCTTTAGCGCTTTCATCAGTGCAAAAACGCTTTGTTTAGAACATGGCTGTCTTTAAAAGCCAAGTAAGTTCATGTTACCTGAGTGAAATGAGAGCTATTTAACATGTCAATCTTCAGTAACATTCTAGGTTCTAGCAGAAAGTCACTGCAACAGGACAGGAAAACCCTTGACAGAAGAGAATATAAAGGACAACAGAGAATCCCCACCCAAAGGATTGGGAAGTGCTCTAAAACATTAATAGCGACTATGGATGCCCAAGGCTTATTAATAAGCTCCCATGAACAAGTCCAGTTACTTTCAGCGTATTTAGATTAATAAGGACTATGATCTTTTGGTTTAATAACTGAGCTCATTCCACATTCATAGTTGCAAGCATTGAAAAGCTATTTCTGAGAACAGTCTGCAATACAGCCATGTTTAATGACACTCCTGTCTCTAGGTTTGTCCTCCTTTTATACTCAAATCCATGTGAAAACTGGAAATTCTTTCCTTTCCCAGACAGTAGTGTTTGATAGATATAGCTTCCCAATACTGCCCCAAGAAACTGTCCCCCGCCACCCAGCAATGCTCATTCCCTTCTTCCCAGGCTCACACACAACACAAAGACAGATGTGTTATGATAGCAATGAATGACCATGCTTACCAAAGTTTTAAAGAGGTTCACTATGAGAAACTTTAAATCTTGACTACTGAAGGAGGACATGCGAAAGCTCTTTGGATCTCTAGCAAATCCTCAATTCTGCATGGGCCTAATCAATATACTTCAGTGTATCAAGTTTTTAGAACATGTGCAATATAATTCTTACCACTGATCCAAAATGTAGTTTCTAATTTTCAAATAGCGTTCTGGTGTTTTAGTTTGGCGCCCCTCAAAAAACTCAGGAATTGCTTGCTTTTCTTCTTCTTGAATGATATTTCTATCTATTTCCACTTCTTGCTCTGGTGGCTTAAGCTCTTCTCCCTCATGGCTTTCCTCCACCGTTTGGAAAGGAGGCAAAAGCATTTCATTTCCACTTGAATCCTGCTGACTGTCACAGGACTCTGGAGAAGGGGAGTGCTTGGATTCATCTGCTATCTCTTTTTCATCTTGCACATCGTCTTCTTCAGCCAGTTTATTGTACTTCTCCCTTAATTCAACTGTGTTTTTGCCATTATTGTTCAGTCTTACAGCCCAAGATGTAATTGCTGAGCTTGAACATTCCTCTACTTCACTTTGCTTCACGTTCTGAAGATTCTCCCCAGAAGAAGAAGCAGCAGCAGCTAGTAGGCCTTCTGAGCATATGAATTCTCCTTGGTTGGCTGTACAAATTTTACTATTAGGAATGTCTATAGCAAGATGGTTGCCAGAACTCTTTTGTGGTGTTTGAGAAGTCAACTCATCCAGTTCGTCTGTGATGTCTACATCTTCATCATCAGATAACTTTTCAATTTTTACAGCATTCAAGTTAGGATCAGCACGCCCCCTTAAACAGGATGCTGCCCACACCTTTGTCCTTTCATCTTTTTTTTTAACCTGAAGATCACTGCTGCTCTTCTGAGTTGGTGTTTCTTTCTCCATATTCCACTTTACCTTATTAAGAATCAAAATAGCATCCACATAATATAAAGATTTGAAGCTTAATCACCTTACACAAAAAATTAGATGAAATATTTTTTAAACTAAGTATATGTTAACAGCCATCCTATCTTTACTTGCTTTTTAAACATCCTACAGAACTTGTACATAGTTAGAAGAGCCATTCTGAAACTGTGGATTTTACACTTTCACTATTGACTATATTTCTATGCACTTACCCACCACCAAAAATGAAAACATCTTGACAAAGTTAGAACTGGAAAAAAAAATTTGTTTTGTTTTGTTTTGTTTTTCAAGACAGGGTTTCTCTGTGTAGCTCTAGCTGTCCTGGAACTCAATCTGTAGACCAGGCTAGCATTAAATTCAGAACTCAAGAGAAGTCAGAGCTCTGCCTACTTCTGCCTCCTGGGTGTTGGAATTAAAGGTGTATGCCACCACTGCCTGGCAGAATTAACTTTATATCCTCTTTCATACATTATATCCATCACCCGCACTCAGTCCATACTCATCCCCTAATATTTAGCCTTCCTTGTGCTCTTTTCAACATGTTATACTGCACCCATGCATACATTTGCTTACATATATACATATATTACTGACTAGATCCCACGTATGAGAGAATACCCAGTTTTTGTCTTTCAGAGATAGTATGGTTTTGCTTAATACTACATATACATTCCATCCATCTTCCTATGAATTTTATAATTTCATTTTTCTTTAAAGCTGGATACTATTCTAACACACACACACACACACACACACACCAAAGTTCCATTATCCAATCATCTGGTGATAACTAGAATGATTGCAATTTTTTGCTATACTGAATAAAGCACACCTAGTAAAGCACGTTATTTACATTAGAAAAAAAATCTCATTTAAGGCATTTCCAAATATCACATATGCTCCCAGATCTCAAATAAACACAGTTATAAATTCTAAATATCAAAACAACACAACTGGGGCTGGAGAGACGGCTCGGCAGTTAAAAGAGTACTGCCTGCTTTTCTAGAAGTCCCAGGATTGCTTTCCAGAACCCACATGAAAGCTCACAGCTATCCTCTAACTCCAGTTAGAGAATCCAATGCCCTCCCTCTTCTGGCCTCTGCAGGCACTGGAGACACTGTGGTCTACACACATACATGTAAGCAAAACATCCACACATATAAAATAAAAATAAAGCATCCTAATTTTTTTAAATGTACACAGCTAAATACAGAACAAATTATTTGAAAAATTAAGGAACTAGATCATAACTACTTTCTGAACAAATTTATTAAGATTTTCGGACAGTTCTTGTAACAATAAAAACCTGTCTGTTTTTAGACAGATTTCATAACCCTATGTTAGCATTTATACCCCTTAAACTCTAAAAATTTCCACAGGTTTCTTCTACAGCACAAATATTTATAGAAGAATAGGTATTTTCCAGAGGAAGTATTAGGCTGCTAACCATTGCCTCTTAGGAATACTATTGGCTTTAAAGACTGGAATGAACAACTACTTTCCTGTTTAACACAGCAACTTTCAGAACCCTGAAGAGGTGCTGGAGCATGGCAACATGCACCATCAGCTACAATGTGCTCAGCTTCATTCTCAGTCACCCATCATGAGCTGCAGCTAGGAAATGGCTGCTCCAAACCGTTTTTAAAAATTAAAAAACAAAAAGCAAATAAACAAACCAACAATCCACTGGGCCAGACAGAAGACTTAGTGGGTAAGCCAAGCTTGACAAGATGAGTTCAATCACTAGTGCCCACATGGTGGAAGACGAGAACCTATTCCCAAGTTGTCCTCTGACCTCCACACTTCTGCCATGTGGCACACATGCATGGCCACATACACACATAAAATAAACGTAATCCATTTTTTTTAAAGATCCAAAACACATACATGTTGTAAATATAAAGTACTTTAGCTATAAAAAGTATTAACAATAAGACTACTTAGATGGAGGTAATGATGCATGCCTACATCTCAGCATTCAGGATGACTGTCATATTGTTCTAGGCCAGCTGGGGCTATATAGTAAGATATCCTGTCTCAAAAACAACAAAAAACAAACAAACAAACAAACCCCCTCAAAAAACCCAAAACCAAAACAATCCAGACTATATTTACTGTCTATATTGAGTATTTGTTTTACTAACTTCATCCAAAATTTTATTATTATTTAGGATATCTGTACTCTGCTTACCTTATTTTTAAAGTACTGTCTGGCGTAACTCTTCACTTGTAAAACTGTGCGACTTTCAACTAGTGTTGCGATTTTGGTCCATCTTCGGCCAAATTTAGCCTGTAATCAAAATGGAGACAAATTTGCTTTGGAGTCCTTACTCAGTAATATTTCAAACAGTAGCCACAAAATAAAACTCGATTTATTAGACTATGCTCTTAAAAATCAAAATCCATGTTTCTTTGACTCAAGAGTTCCGAAAACTAAACAAAATGACTTACAACAGCCCAAAAGAGAGGTAGGTGACATTTTTTAATTTTTTCTTACAAAATCAACTGGACACATTCTACACGAATTGCAACTTTTAAACTCAGACTTTATACTCTACAATACCTTTTAAGTATCCTACAGCAAACAATCTATACTGGGTATACAGTGAAACGAGGGTACATAGTGCAATGACTTTCAAAATTCAATGACAGATGAAGTAGACCAAGGAGCCAAAGGCTATGGAGCCAAAGGCTATGCCACACCCTGGGCGTTCCCATGGAGATTTCAAGTGCAAAAGAGAAAATACACAATTCTAGACATATGGTGGACATTTAGATACCAAGTCTAAACCTTATTTAGCACATAAATCTTCACTAACACAAGATATTTCCCACAGTAGACCAACAACACCCCCCCTTTTTTTAGAATTCTTAAAGCCATGAAAAGCAAAACAAAAACAAAACAAAAAACAACTAAATACAACCCAGAAAAACCTCCTCAGACTCAAACTACATACCAAGTAGCCATATCTTGTGGTAGTAAAATATCTTTAAAGATCTGACCCAGATGGTAGAGCTTCATTTATGCACTTATTTCTGTTATTCAGATGGGCAATATGTTAAAACTCAAAGTACTTCTGAAAAAACTGTTATAACTTATTTAATAGTAATACCTAGCTTGTATTAACTAACTGAAGAATAAGTTCTTTTTACTGTGGAGTGAAGGCCAATGACTTGGTATCATGAAACACATTTAGAGACAGGAGGGACCTCAATTAATTGAGATCTTTTGGGATAACAGGGCTTGAACACTAAGAAAATGAAAGACAAACTAGCAAGAGGAGCATAGAAAATATCTATCAGTTTCAAAGTGCAGTAAAGATATAGCCCCACACTAAAGAAACAGAAAGAATAAAATCTTCCTTCAACATCAGCACCACCACATTCCCTCACAAGCCTGAAACTGTATCAATGGATAAAAGTGGGCAACACAACAATTGTCCAATAAATCAAAGCATTTTCTTCTGTAGGAAATCATTCTGTTTAAATTATCTACGAATCTACATAAATAAGTTCTCATCTGCTTACATATGGGCCAAACATCCCTATGATATACAGAGAAAAGCTAACTGATGACCTCGGAAACGAAAGCGAGACTTATTACCCAATAACTTTAGGTTAAGTGTGAGTTCTGAACACACAAATAGGTCCCTATAACCATCACTAATGCCAACAATAAAAACAAAAGCAGAATCTTTAAGTTCACAAACTATGAACTTGCAAATATGAGCATATGCATATTTAGTCTTTGATAAAGAGCAAACATCGAAGTTATCCATCCTAAATAAATTGTTAGACTGTCAGACAACAGAAAAAAAGCCAACATAACTATCATCGTATAGAAAAAAAAAGAGGAAGAAAACCTCCAGATAAGTTTATGTATTTGTATTAAAACACTGTAATACACAGCTGCCATTCTACTGACTAGAAAAATACCAACATATTTTACTTCTCATAATTTGTATGTAATTCATTTATTAAAATGTTCTATACATATCATATACTATGTATAATTTATATACAATCTCAAAATCAAATTTAGTATAATTGAGCCACATGTACCCTAAATGAAAAAATACAACCTACTCTTGATAGTTTAAAAATTCATGGTTATTTTATTAAACATTTCGTCATGTTATGAAGTATTTTTAGTATTTGAATCACACACATACTTTTTATTCTTCGTAACTTATACGTTTAAAAAGATTTCAGTGATACATTCATACAAAAAATGTTTCTGGTCTTCAAATACATGTTCTGAAAAATGTGGATTATGCACAATGCTAAACAGTTGAATGAAAAGGAAAGAATTCAGCTTATCTCCTATTGCAAGTACACAAGGTTTTTTTTTTTTTTTTAATTTTGCTTCTAGAATAGTTTTACCTTAAGTTAAAATATTCTCTACTTACCAGTCCTTGTTCAAACAGTTCTTTTTCCTCTACTGTCCACTTTACTGAATAACTGGCTGGTTTTGTAGGAGAATGTACCCTGAAAGAAAAAAGAGGAATTGCAAAAAAAAAAAAAAAAAAAAAAAAAATCTGAAATGGAACATTCTATATTTATGCAGCTAAAGGTTATAGACCAGTAGTTCTCAACCTTCCTAATGCTGCAACCCTTGGATACAGTTCCTCATGTTGTGATGACTCCCCCCAACCATAAAACTATTTTCATTGCTATTCTGTTATGAAGCGTAACAATATGTGTTTTCTGTTGGTCTTAGGTGATCCCTGTGAAAGGGCTGTTGGAACCTCCAATGGGCTGTAACCCACAGGTTGAGAACCAGTCAGTCAGTCACTTGGCTAAAACCAAGACTTCTAGTCTACTAAAAAAGGAGGGGAAGGAGGCAGCTACTGCAGCTGGCACCTAGACAGTAAGCTTTACCTGTTCCTTATCTCTACCACAATGAGATTGAAATAATATATATAAACAATAATATATATAAAACACACACACTATATATATATATATATATATATATATATATATATATATATATATATATATATATTCCTTGCATCTGAGTGAAGACAGCACTAAAAGACATCAAAGGAAGTCTCTCTGGTTAACAAATAGGCCTCCTCAGACTGAAGACAAACAGCAGCCATTAACATATTCTCAATGCCCAAGATTTTAAATCATAAAAATATGGCATCACATTTATTGCTTTTAAATTCTGTATCATATGAAATTAAAGCATACTAAGGAAGTTCTCCAATTTCATCAAGCATCCAATCCTCTCACTAACTTCACTTTATGTAGTAAAATATAAAAGCCAAAGTCTGCTCAGTACTCAAACTTATGTTTATAAATAATGACCATTCTTCCAATTAAAAAGAATCTAGAATCTAGATCTAGAATTCTTTGAGACAGGATGTTGCTATATAGTCTTAGTTGGCCTAGAACTCACTATGTTCAAGCTGGTCTTGAACTTGTGGGTTCTGATTCTGCCTTCCAACTATTGGGATTACAGGCATGAGCCACTAAGCCCAGCCCAATTTTACTAGGTAATTTTCAGAAGCCACAGATGCAAATGAAATTGTATGTAACAAATTTAAAATTATCAGACAGAACAGAAATCAAGTCAATTAGTAATGTATCTTTATGATAGGACGAACTGCTGATAGACATTTAAAAAAATTCTGGCAAATAAATAATGGCATAAAAGTATGTATTCTAACATCTGTGCCAAAAACATCTTTAAAATAAAAATCCTGTCCTTTGAATCAAGACCGCTTTCCCATTGACTATATCTAACTGTTAAGAATTTTCTTGTAATTTTAGCCGGGCGTGGTGGCGCACGCCTTTAGTCCCAGCACTCGGGAGGCAGAGGCAGGCGGATCTTTGTGAGTTCGAGGCCAGCCTGGGCTACCAAGTGAGCTCCAGGAAAGGCGCAAAGCTACAC